TATAAAAAATGATTGCATGCGAATTTATGATGCCGTAAAATCTAAACAAAAAAAACTTTCAGTAAGAGAAAAGATTAACCACACCATTTAATTTCCATGCTCTCTTATTTGTTTGTTGTAAATTACCATAGAATGGTCTCTTCTTTAGCACATATCCAACTAAGGCTAAATTCCACTATTTTATATCCTTCTTGAACTTCAAGTACAAAGAAAGAAGTCTTATCTCGTGAACAAGGAACATGAGACATATTGAAATTAGAAGAATTATTAAGATGTGAAGAAACTAAACCCATTCATTTAAGTGTTGGAACAACACCAAGAACATGCTAAGAAGAATTAGAACTAAGTGGGGGAAAAAAAGAGAATCCATCTTAAAAAGGGGCAAAGAAGCCCTAAAATCTGTATGAACACAAAAAAAAACACGGTTTTCTCAACAGAAAGGGAAAACAAAAAGAAATAGAAGAAGTCTAAAGAAAATCTTGAGTAAACAAAAGTTCTCTTTAAATCTTGCTATCACACTTCACACAAAACTATCATCCAAAAAAATAAAGGGGTTTTCAGAAAGCATGAAAGTAGATCGACTTCAATAATTTTCATGCACATAATCAATTATTTTAACCAAGCAAAACAAGGTGAGTGTTTTCAATTTCTTAGAGCTTTTCATTTAAAAATTCTTGCATCAATGAAACTCTTATTTATGTATGTAAATTTTGTACAAATCTAATCCTAAAATACTCACTCAACAATCATAAACCTTCTAATAATGTATGGGCAAAAGAAGTCTAAACTCCCTAGTTGAAAAAAGCTAGGAGGTCCACATAGAATCCAAACAATATATATATATATATATATGTATATGTAAAATCATGCTTAACCCCAGTTTAATCGTAATGTGCAATTTTCAAAGCTGCCAGAGAATTTATGGCAAAATAATGAAAGGCATGATTTGATTATGGCGAAACGTTCATTTCTATGCTGATTTTATTTGTGGTTAATGATTTAGGATTCGTCAACCAAATAAAGTAAAAATTTAGCCTGCATGAACATTCTTAATGAGAGGAAAGTGGATTTTAAGGCATATTCTCCAAAGAGCAAATTCCAGAAACAGGTGAAGAAACCGATGATCACAGTGTTGGATATTTTATGGGTAACGCGGGTCATGGGGTCGATCCCGCAAGCGCCTGTTTCAAAGTCAAATATTTGGATGGCATCGTGGTTTGGGGCTGCGCCGCACGAAAAAAGCGGCCCCGAACGGGTAATAGGAAGGGAATTAGTATTTGGAGCAAATCACCAGCTTAGCCTACTATTTAAGAGTAGCTTTAAATCAAGAGGTCTCGAGTTAAATTCGGTCGAATATGGTCAAAATCATTATAAAAAAAAAAAAATGAAAAAAAGGATGTTATCACCCATTTCTTATGTATTTACATATCCAACATCTAGGCTTGATTATTAG